TGGGATGGGGCGCGCACTGCCGAGACCTTCTTGGACTGGTCGAGGATGAATGGAACCCTCGAAGAGGTGGCCCGGGTAGATGGGGACTTCTGGGAGCGTGATGGCCGCGGCCTCTGCCCGGCCTTTCCCTTGTGCTTCTGGCCAGAGGGCAAAGCATGAGGGAAGTAGAAGGCTGGAGGGTCAGGCGCGGGGCTGAAGGAGGAAGAAGACAAGGTGCTGGTATCCGGGTCCATCAGGTCTTCAACATCCTGCTGCCACAGGTAGGCGTCCAAGCAGTCATAGGAGCCCACCAGGGAATGCTCCTGGCTGTCCTCCGAGATGCACCGGACAGGGGTCTCCACTAAGCCTCCAAGGACTGTGCCCACCTCCGAGTCAGATGAGTGACCCTGGAGACGGGCCAAGAAACGGGAGGGATGATCAGGACCAGAGAAAGCTTGAGACCCAGGACCCAGGAGACCAGAGCCTCAGACCCTCCTCCTCCCTCAGACCCAGGATTCCAGACCACAGCTCCTCCTCCCTCAGACCTAGGTATCCAGGCCCCCAGTCCCTCCTCCCCACTCAGACCCAGGAGTCCAAACTCCCAGACCCTCCTTCCCACTCAGACCCAGGAGTCCAGACCGCAGCCCCTCCTCCCTCAGACCAAGAGTTGGGCCCCCAGTATATAGCTGCCTTGGAAGAGGACTGTGTGTGGTTGATGGTGTTGGAAATGATGCTGAAGATGGTACGGATGGTGATGCTGGGCTTCTCTGGATGGAAAGAAAGTAGTCTGAGTTTTCAGCCGAAGGGCCAGAACTTTGGGAATCCACACATGTGGGGGGTGTGCTCACCAGAAACCTGGATTTTTGTCTGAGATGTGTCCAAGTAGAGTTTTGGTTGGGACCTGTAGAACCACATGGCGTGACTGACGGCATCTGCACCGGGTCCTCAGCCTTCCCCTGCCTCCCCCCAGGAGCCAGACCCCCAGCCTACTTTTCTGTAGGTTTCTTCTTGGCTTGAGCATGCTCCGCACGTGACCAGATGAGAGGCACAGAATCGCCCACGGCCTGAGACTTGAATCTGCGCCTGAGGGTCTGACAGTGGGAGGAGGGAGGGGGGACAGTGAGGGAGCCCAGTACCCCTGCCCCGTCCCTCCACGGCCAAGCCTGCCCAGCATGCTCACCTTGGTCTTCTTCTGTCTCTGAGATGCCATCAGCTTGTAAGGAAATGTGGGCTTGGCAATCATGACTGCAGAGGAGGGAATGCTTTGAGTCAGGGTCCCGGACAGGGAGGACACAGGGAGACGCGCGGGGGGCTTGGCCAGGGAAGAAGGGGGAAGGTCAGACCACGCCTGGTGCAGAAGATGCTGAGAAGCAGGGGAGAGCCTGATGGACACTGAGCCTGCTCACCTGAACGTTTGGACTGGGGCTGGGCCTGCGGACAAGAAGGGGGACAGTGAGGAGGGGTGGCCTCCTCCTGGTTTCCACATCTCCCTTACCTACTCAGCCCAAGACTCCAGGACCCCAGCCCATCCCTCTCCCAGGACTCAGGGATCCTGTCCTCTGCTCCTGCAAACCCTGGAATCTAGGCCCCCAGCCTCCTCCTCCCTAAACCAGGAGTCCATCTCCCAGCCCCTCCTCCCTCAGACCCAGGAGTTGACACACAGCCCCTCCTCCCTCAGATCCAGGAGTGCAGCTCCCAGGCCCTCCTCTGTCATCCAGGCACCCAGCCTCATTTCTTAGGGTTCTGGGTTGCAGGCTGTTGGACTTGGTTCTGAGATCTAGAACCACGGCTGCCCCAGGGTGGGGGGCAGTGCCCACCTGGAGGCGCCAGGTGGAGGCAGGAGGTACCACATTGACCAGGTTCATGGTTGGTGTGCTCAGGGTCCTGGGGGCCCAGGTTGTGGCCGGCTTGTGGAGCAGGTTGATGAGACGGATCCAGCGGTCAAACAGGAAGCCAAGCTCATTATCAGGGGCGTCCAGCTCCAGGTAGTAGTAGCGGCCTGTCACCAGGCGTAGCTTCAGGCGCCAGGCAGACAGGTCATGCACGTAGAGGTGGGCCAGGTCCAGCGGGAGCATCCTGGGGGCGGAGGAGCAGGAGATGCCGATGGCAGAGCAGGAGATGGGACAGAGCAGGAGCAGATGGGGGGATGGAGGCACCCGATGAGGATCAGGTGGGAGCACTGCCTGGGGCCGCTGGGGGGGATGGAGGCACCTGGTGAGGACGAGGTTGGAGCACTCCTTGCCCTCTCCGCGCTCAGCGATCAGCAAGATGTCTGGCAGTACCAGGCCTGGCAGGGAGGCAGCCACACCCATGGTCAGACGGTTGGTTCTGTGGTGCACGTACACGGGGGCCCCTCGATTACTCACCTGGGGGTCCAGGGAGAGGGGCTGGAACCACTCCTCTTTCTCCAGCGGTCCTCCGGCACCCACAGCCCAAGCCCCTGGCCACCGGAGCCCGCCCCCACCCCTGCCATGCCTGCCTGGGTTCAAATCCCCCAGCCCAGGGGGGTTTCCAATCCCCTCCTGCCCCTCTCCGCCCCCAGGGTGCAGGAAGCTGGGGACCTGAAAAAAATTGCTCTCGAACATTGGCAGCGGACGGAGGGGCAGGTACTCGCCCTTCTGGAGCATCTTCTGCAGCTCGCCCAGAGTGGGGACCCATTTTGAGGGTCCCTGGAGTGGCTGCATGCGCTTGATGTTGCGAAACCGGTTCATGGTGGCGGGAGAAAAGGTGGGTCACCACAGATACATGGTCAGGGAGCCAGGCACCTGGGCACATGGCCAGCCCAGTGTCCCCCAGCTCACCCTTTGGGCCTCACAGGTGCGGGAGCTCAGCGGGTCCAGAAGGTGGAGCTTCCCCAGGGCTTGGCCATGGCCCTGCAGAGGGCGGGTGGTCAGCCCTGGCCTGGGGGAGGAGACTTCTGGTGGAGGGGCTTTGTGACCTCATCAGACACCTACGTGTAGGACTCTTGCTGCGAACTCTCGGCGGGGCACGGGATGGGTTCCTGTCTCCGGGATGTGGCTTAGGGCCTGTGGCTCAGAAGCCCCCAGTCCAGACCCAAACTAGTGAAAACACAGGACCCTTGCGGGGGGCCCCGGAGCCGGGGGGTGGGGAACTGCTCTCTTGGATATTGTAAATGGATAATTAACTAAAGAGTTTCTGACTCTTAAGAAGGGAGGCCCGAGTATAGCCCCAACTCACCACTGACCTTTCTCTAGACCTTGAGTAAGACTCATACCCACACTGGGCCTCGGTTTCCCCATTTGTAACCAGTTTGTGTCTGGGTTATAAAGAAAGGGAGGGACGTGTGCTTTGGAAGGAGCCAGACTTCTGGCAGAATCACAGTTGTCTCTCCCTAGCTATTTGACCTTGAACAACATCCAAACACCCCCTCCAGTCTGACCTTCCCTCACCAGTCAAGTGGGTCATGATGCCTCATTCAGGGGGTCGTGTAAGTAAAACCCCACACTTCAGGCACGGCCCAGAGCAGGCAGGCACTCAGTCAGCCGTGACTCCTGACTCCTTATGAGGGCTTATTTGGCGGGGGGAGGGGAAGGTGTCGACTGGTATTCTTTCACTCTAAAAAGTGTTTATTTATTTTATTTAAATATGTCATGCAAAAAACATGGTCATTGTGGAAATTCTGGATAATACAGACAGGCACAAATAAAAACAAGTCACTCAGAACTCCAGTCCACCTTCCACCCTGAGGGGACCCTGGACAAAATTTGGGTGTATTTTCTTCTAGGATTTTTTATTTTAAAGATTTTATTTGAGAGAGAGAGAGAGAGAGCACGAGAGTGGGGTGAGAGGCAGAGGGAGAAGCAGACTCCCCACTGAGCAGGGAGCCCAATGTACGGCCTCGATCCTGGGACTTTGGGATCATGACCCGGGCTGAAGGCAGATGCTTAATCGGGTAAGCCACCCCGGCACCCCTATTATTATTATTATTAAAGATTTTATTTATTTATTTGACAGACAGAGATCACAAGTAGGCAGAGAGGCAGGCAGAGAGAGAGGAGGAAGCAGGCTCCCCGCTGAGCAGAGAGCCCGATGCGGGGATCGATCCCAGGGCCCTGGGATCATGACCTGAGCCGAAGGCAGAGGCTTTAACCCACTGAGCCACCCAGGCGCCCCCTTATTATTATTTTTAAAGTAAAGTGTATGCCCACTGTATGGCTGGAACTCACAACCCCAAGATCTAGAGTCACACGCTCTACTGAGTCAGCCAGGTTCTAGGACTTTTAAAAACGTCTGTATATCCATCCATCCATCCCTCCATCCACCCATCCAAACATAAAATGCAAATCACGCCGTGGTTAGTAGCCTGCTTTCTCTGGTCTTAAAGCAGCCCCCAGAGCACCCCCTCGGAATGGCTGACGGACGGCACCCCATCAGACAGATGGGTGTAATTTATTAAACCATCCCTCACGGTTGGACATCTAGGTGGTTTCTGGTTTGCTGTTGTGAACATCGCCGTAACGAACAACATCAAACTTGCAGCTTTGTCACATACAAGTATTGTAGGGCACAGGACGGCCTTCTGGAGCCTTCCATTAAAGATTCATTGAGTGCCTACAAAGTGCAGTCTCGGACCTGCCCCTCAGTGCTCAGGGTCCCTGGGGACCAACTATCTCCCCTCTGCTGTCTTGCCCACTGAGGGTCCATGCCTCCCTCTACTCCACGGACCCCAGCGTCCAGCCCCCAACCCTCAGCCCTCAGAGAAATCACCTCCAAGTGGATGTGTATGACAAATTTAATTCCCCCTTCTCCGTCTTACAAAGGTTTCTCACATTTTTGTACAAAAACCCAGGCCTCCTTTCCCTTTCCCTCCCCACCCCAACCCAAAAAGTAATTGTTTAATAAATAATATATGCTCCTGCCCAGGCCCAGAGGGCTAGGGGATAGGGAAACCCTGCAGCCAGACTTAAGAGATTCAAGAATCTAGGACTCCAGTTCCCAGCCCCTTTGGACCCCAAGACTACCTGCCTCCCACCCACCCCCCCTTAAATAAATAAGTATAAATAAGGCACAGAAACCCCCCGACTCTGCCCAGGTCTCCTGGAGGGACCGTCTTGAATTAAGGAGAGAGAAGGAGGGGGTGTTTTCCTGCTGCCGTGCCCCCAGTCCCCAAATAAATAAATAAATAAGATGTGGCATCGAAGGACGTTGGTGGTTCCCGGTGGCGGGTCACAGCCGAGTCTTCAGCAGCAGCAAGCCCCGCACAGCCCAGTCAAGGGTCAGGTGCAGCCCCCCAAGAATAGCATGGGCTGCCCTGATGCCTCCCCAGGCGGAGGCTGGGGGCGCTAGTGGGGGAGCTGGTGGGTCCGGGGGCGCCTGGGGTAAGGCCAGGCGGGACATCTGTTGGGAGAGGACAGAGGGTTAGCAATAGGCCCAGGGTGCAGTGGGGGTTTTGAGAAGGGGTGTTTGGAGCCTCTACTAAATGGGGGAGGGGGCTGGGAAGTCCAGGCTGCCTGCTTCCGGAGCTTCTCTGGCCTGTGGCATAGGCTTTCTGGGCGGGCAGTTCTCAGCATGTTGGGTGCAGAAAATGAAAACTGGGGCCAAAAGGTGGGGGTGTCAGAGCCAAGTCCAGGGGCTTGGGGGACAGGTCTATAGAGTCAGGACTGGGATCCTGATGCTAGGCAAGGGCTGGGGGCTCAAGTCTGGAGTCGGGTCCAAGATCTTGGGGCTGGGGTCTTAGATGTGGGATCTCTCCAATCCAAGCTGAGAGACTCATGGGTGAGGGCTAGGCCCTCAGAAGTGGGACCTGAAATTTGGGGTCAGGCCCAGGAACTGGTATTTGAAGTTTTCTGAGCTCAGGGTCCTGGGTCTAGGATTTTAGCAGTCAAGTCTTAACGGCTCATGACCAGTGTCTGAGGTCTTAGGGACACAGAGCTCAAGGTTGGAGGCCTCAGGGTCTAGGCTCTTGAAGTCTAGAGATGGTAGACCCAGGGTCTCCAGGCTGCCTTTGGGTCAGGGTCTGGGGGGGTCTTGGGGCCACAGGATTTGAAGGTCTCAGAGCAGGTCTCAGAGCAGGCCCAGAATCTAGGGTTGGGTTTCAAGCGTAGGTGTCAGGCCTGGGGGCTGGGGGTCCTACCAGGAGCTGCAGCCGGCGCAGCAGGCGGTCCAGCCGGGCCTGCAGGGCACCAAGCTCGGGCTCCAGGGTCCGCAAGGAAGGGCCTCCAGCTCGGCGCAGCCACTGCACGTGGCGCAGGTAGGAGAACAGGTCCGCCCGCAGCCGTGTCAGCACACCTGGGAGCTAGGACATAGGGCATGGGGGGCATCAGGAACACATGCCACCAGCCTGCTCTGGCCCCCAGTCCCCTGCCCCCCTCCACACTCAGATCTCACCTATCCCCCCCACCCGCCCTTTCCCCTTCCCTTACCTGCAGGGCTCCCAGCGCCCCTGCACTCATGGCCAAGGTGGGAAGAGAGTCCAGGCTGTGGTCTCCGTCGGCTGGAAATTTGTCCCTCTGTGGGGGCAAAGAAGCCTTGAGGGGGACCCTGCCCAGCTCCAAGGGTCCCTCCATCCTCCAGATAGGCTCCAAACTCCTTCCCCCCCCCAGCCCCCCCCCTCCCGTTTCTGCCACCGTGGTAGCCCAGAAGCCCTCCCCACTCCTGGTCCTGGTCCCAGCCCGTCCCTTCCAGTCTCTCCTACCAGCTGGGCGGCAAGCTGCCTAGTGTCCGCCAGGAGGGAACGGGTCAGGAGGACGGCGCTGTCCAGCTCAGCCCGAGGGTCTGGGGAGGCCCGTGGGGGGCCAGGAGGCGGCCCGGGGGCAGCAGCTCTATCTGGCCACAGGCTCAGGGCGACCAGGACCAGGCAGCAAACACCTGGGGGCGGGAAGAAGCAGAGAGCTCAGACCGGACTGGTGGGTCTGAGGGAGGAGGGACTGGGGGTCCTGAGTCCCAGGGTGGAGCGCCCAGGGCAGGTCGCAGGGCTGGGGCGGGCTTCCCTCTCCCTCTCCGGCTCTGGCTGCCCCGCCCGTCGGAGCAGACGCGGCCCGGGGCGGGTAGACGGGCCGGGCGTCTCCCGTCCGCCCCCGGACGCCGGAATCTGGGCCCCGGGGCGGGGCATGAAGGGGGGAGGCACAGGCCAGAACCTGCCCCCTCCCCGGGCCTCGGAGCCCGAGCCGGACTGAGAGCAGAGGCAGGAGACCAGGACAGAAACCCGGAGGCCCAGACCCCTCCCCAGGGGGACATCCCCACCCCCTGGTGGACCGCGGAAGGCCGGGCCGCGGAGCCGGCGATGGCCGCGGAGCCGGCGATGCCCCCGGAGCACACCTGGGCGGAGAGAGGCAGAGGCGCGGGCGCAGCGGGGCCGCGGGAGGCGCAGAGGGACCCGGCGGCCGCGCGCGGCTCGGGGGCTCGGGCCCGCTGGCTCCTGGGCAGCCCATCCCCCAGCTGCCCCGCCCACCCCCGCGTCCGCCAGCCAATCAGCGCCCCCCGGGCCGCCCCGCTCCCGCATCACACCCCCAGCCCGCCCCCCGGCCCTCCCCGGCCGCCGTCTGTCCGTCGGTCCACATCTGTCTGGCTCTCCCGTTCCTGTCTGCACCACTGTCTCTCTCTCTCTCCTCCCCGTGGCTGGGGTCGGTGTTCTGGACTTGGCGCTCACCTCCTGGAGGCTCTCTGCCTCAGTTTCCCTCCCGGAACCTCTCTGTCGGAATTCCTGGGCGTCTGCGTCTCTCTGTCCCCGCTGACTCCCTGGGGTCCCCGGGCCCTCGGGGATCCCCTCCCGGCATCGGTCTCTGTCTGTCTGGGGTCTCCATCTCTCTGGCGCTGCCCTGTGCATCTCTCCGCGTCTCAGCTTCGTCCTCTCGTCTCTCTGCCCCCCTCGTCTCCCGGCCGCCTGCTTTCTCGGAATCTCCTTTCCTCTCCCATCTCTGCCCACCCCCCCATGGCTCCCTCACTCTCTGTCTCTTTCTACCCCATTCAGCTGCGCCTGTCTGCTCCCCACCCTCCTTGCCACTGGCCCTCCCTCCACCCTTCCTGTCCCCCCCACCCCATGAACTTGAACCAACTTACTGTTCATGTCCCCACAGGGCAGGGGTTCCCCAGGGCAGGGAGCAGGGAGCTGGGGGCCTTTAACCCTTCCCTGTCCGCTGCCGGGGGGAGCCCTGGGGGTCAGCTGGGCCTCGGCCTGGGGAGGGGAGGCATGTGCGTGTGAGCAGCGAGGGCCGTGGCAGTGAGGGAGTGTGTACGCCTGGGGGGTTATATAGGGGGCCAGGGCGGTTGGGCGGGGGGCAGGCGGCAGGGGAGGGCGGCCTGACACATCCTGACTCACCCTCCCTGCCTGCCTTTTCCATTCAGAGGGAGCCGGCTGCCTCGCAGGGCTCAGGCTGCCTTGCTCAGAGGAGGGCAAGGAAGGAAAAGTTGGAAAAGTTGAAGAGAGAAAGGGGGGGGTGGTCGGAGAGGGGCTGGTGAGGTCATTGGCGTCCCCTCCCTCCACCTCCTCCTCCGGGCCGCCACAGGGGCAGACACAGTGGCTCAAGAGCTGGGGCTGGGCTGCGGGGGGGTGGGGGTTTGCTGGGGGTCTGGGTTGGCTGGACCAGGACCATCAGAGAGGTAGGGAGGCTGGGGAGAGAGGGACGGGGAAAGCCGAGGATAGAGCCACAAGACGCAGCCCTGGGGAGATGGATGTGCAAGGCAGAGCCATTCAAAGGGACAGAGAGAGCGAGAGGGATGGAGAGTGTGAGACCCAAGCGAGGATACAGAGAATATGGGGACACTGAGGCAGAGGTGGAGTCTGAAAGGCAGAGATAGACAGTGACCCACAGAGAGATGCGGGACATCAAGCAGGTCCACTGCAGGAGCAGAGAGACCCACACAGAGACCCCAGGAGGAAAAGGGACAGCAAGTTGTGGGTTTAGAGAGAGGGGAGGCAGGCAGCAGGAGAAACACACCGGGGACAAAGTTGCAGAGGCCCCAAGAGACAGGCAGGGAGCCAGAGGCCCTCAGAGGAGGTGCTGGGCGCTGGGACAGAGAGGAGCAAGTCTCCGGGAGACAGGCAGGGACGTGAAGGTGGGGAGAGAAGCAGAGCTGAGGGAGAGAGAGAGAGAGAGAGCGCGAGCGAGCATGAGACACCCAGACGAGGTGCGATCTTGGGCCTCAGTTTCCTTATCTGTGAAATGGGGATAACAGAGAACCCATCCCCCTGCTGCCTCCTCCCCATGCCTGGTAAGGATGAGTTCACTCATGTAGAGGTGTAGGACACACAATCAGCTGTCAATAAACATGAAGCATTGCAGTTCTCTTCCTCGGTTTTTATTAACACATGCCCGGAGGCCCAGAGAAAGATGCAGCCTCCAGGAGGGCTGGGGATGGCAAGTGAGTGGGCAAGGTAATGAGGGTGACAGACACATAGAGAGAGTGGCTCAGCCAGGGAGTGGAGATGGGGACAGGGCAGAGATGGCAATGAGCGGAGGCACTGGAGCGGCGGAGTGGGGAGGATGGACAGGACAGCCCTGGGAGCATAGGCGCCCTGATGAGTGCTGGGGACAGAGGCAGAGCCAGTGAGGGACTGGGTCTAGAGCCCCATCCCCGAGAGCATCCCCCCTTCCCAGCGAAGGACAGGGTGGGAGTGAGAAGGCAAAACGACAAGGTCCCCCTGCAGGCCCCCTCCTGGCTCTCGGAACTGTGCTGAGCTGGTAGGGGGGCTCTGGGGATGAATGGCAGCTAGAGACTTCCCCTCCCATCCCCCACAATGTGGGGTGGGGGACGAGGGCTCACGTCCCCAGGGAGGTGAGGTCACAGCCCCCCATGGTGGGACATGACTTCATTGCCTCAGGTAAGAACTCTCTCTGCGGGTCTGTCATGGCCACCCCTTCCAGGGCCCCCCAGGGGCCCTCCCCAGCCCCTGCTCCCACAGGGACCCAGGCCTCTGACCACTGGGTCTCCGCCCCTCAGGGGGCCTATTTCCGGCTGAGTCAGTGTGGGGGGCCCGAGGCTGCGTCAGTGAGGGGAGAACTGACGTAGCCCCCCCCCAGACCGGCGGGGCCAGCCAAGGTGACTCAGGCCACCAGCCTGGGGGATGGACTGGCCTGAGGGGATAGGGACTGGGCCTGGGGCCAGTCTGAGAGCAACAATAGGGATCCTGCACTGGCAGCCCCTTCCACCTACTAGGAACCAGGAGTGCTACCCCAGACCCTCTTCTTCAACCCAGGATCCTGGGCCCCCAGCCCCCTCCGAACCAGATGGCAGGTGTCCAGGCCTTAAACCCTGGTTCCCAGGTGGAGAAAAAGGTGTTTCCATTCTGCCATTTGGAAAATGCTCTATGGGAAAGGTCAGGAGTCTGAGGCTGGGTCAGTGTACCTGGCTGGTGCCAGTCCCCCCCACCCCATCGTGCCTTGGCCTGCACCCTGAGGCTGTGGGGTCATCTTTCCCCTAATTCCAGCTTTCCTGGCTGCAGGAGGCTGAGGGAGATGGGGTGGGTAAGGCAGGTGGTCAGGGGGATTCCTCAGCATCCTGGGTCTTCCCCAGGGTGGGGAGGGGGGCGCCCGGGCTCCTCCTTTTGCAAGGAGAGCAAGAGGGCACAGGGTGCCCCCACTGACAGGCAGGATTGGGGAATCACAAAAAAGTGACGACACCGACACAAACACACAGAGGCTGTAACGCAGACACCCAGGGTGAGCAAAAGACCAAGTTGTGAAACAATAGGATATACAGATACAAGCAGCTTTAAGGAAACCAGCTCAGAGGCTCAGAGACAAGGACCAGGGAGACATAGTGCCAAAGGCTCTGCACAGAGGGTCCCGCATGTGAGGGAAGATGCCACTGGAATATGAGTAGGGAGCTGGGGGTCCTTGCTCCTGTGCTGGCCCTGGGTGAGGTAGGGCTGGCTGGTGTGAGGTCAGCAGGTCCGAGGCTGTGTGTGTCCGTCTGTCTATCCCTGGGGGGTCCTGTCTGGCCTCTGGGGGGTGACGGGGCAGGCAGGCCGCAGAAGCAACCCAAACCTGTCATTAGCGGTGAGGGCCGTGACGGCGGGGGCCCCCCCAGTCCCAAGCCGCGGTCCAGGGCCCAGCAGCCCCGCCCCCCACCCCCTCCTTGATCCCTGAGGAATCCCGAGAATTGCGAAGTGGGTCCAGATGATGTTGACACAGGAAATGGTCATCAGCTGCTGGCCTCAGCCCCACAACCCCTATGACCCCCCACCCCCGGCCCCCTGCTGAGCCCCCTCTAACCTGTGTCATCTCTGACGGAGGCAGCCCAGGGCCACTCAGCTCCCACCAGGATGTTTACAAGAGATGCACAGACCAGGAGTCAGCCCCACGGGGCTTCCTGAGAAATGGGGTCTGGACTCCTGGACAGCTGCCCTCAGACCTGGTCCCTGGCCTTCTGCCTCAGACCCGAGAGTCAGGCCCCCAGCCCCTCCTCCCTCTGACCCAGGAGTCCAGCCACCTCCTCCTTCAGACCCAGGAGTCTAGGCCCCCAGTCCCCTCCTCCCTCAGACCCTGGAGTCCAGACCTCCAGCCTCTCTTTCCTCAGCCCCAGGAATCTGGGCCCTCAGCCACCTCCTCCCTCGGACTTGGGTTTAGACCCCCAGCCCCTCCTCCCTCAGACCCTGGAGTCCAGGCCCCAAAGCCGCACTGCCCCAGGAGGCTCCCTCCTCACTGTACTGCAAAGCTGAGTGGAGGGTCACCTGAGAGAACTAGGGATCATGGTCCCAGCCCAGCCCTCCACTGGGCTCCTCCACCACTGAGGGGAGCCAAATGGGAAACTTGAGGACCTCTACATGGACCCTTTCCCCATTTGTGGGTGGAGAGACTGAGGCCTGAGGAGAAGGGTCTTCCTCCCCACGAGCCACACTCAGGGCCTGCACATCCTCATGGCCCTTACACATTCCCCATCCGTTCTCCACTGGGAGGCCTGGAGAGCCCTGGGAACAAGAGGACTCCCGAGCAAGTGCTCTGGCCTTTGGCCCAACCCCCATTTTCCCCTTGTCCTCCTGGGCCACCTGGTTGTTAGGGGGAGCCCTCCCTAACAATGGGGCTCAGTGAGCCTCAGGGCGCCTGCCCCTGGTTGCTGGGGGAAGACCCCTGGCAACGACATCTCGGGAGACTTAGGGCCACCTGGGGCTGCCTGCAGGCATCAGGTTACCAAGCAGAGGGATTCCCTGGCAGGAAGGTCTCCCAGGCCCCGTGGCTTGGGGTGCCCTGGTTGGCAGGCAGGAGGTGCCTTAGACCCCCACGTACTTTCTGCCCAGGTTGGCTGGCCCCCACCCCTGTGGGCCCTTCAACCTGGTTGCTAAGGAAGCCACTTCCTACCAACCAGGCATGACCAGGCCAGTGTGACCCCCCTTCCTCCTTCCCCACGGCTAAGGGGGCTCCCTAGCAACAGAACTTGGAACCTGGAAAGTGGGGTGGGCAGGTGGGCGGGGCCCCACTGGTTGCTGGGGTGATGGCCTTCAAGGTCTGTCCCCACAGAGGCCCCAAGGGTCTGGGGAGGCAACATGGTGGGCTCTGGGATCCCCGCTTTGAGCCTCTTCCTGCTGATGCAGGGCTCAGGTGAGGGGGCTGAAGGGAAGGTCAGAGAGGCGAGCACGGAGCCTCTTCAGCCTCCTTACAGCCCCTCTAACACTGACCCTTCTTCTCCGCAGACGGGAATGGGATCCAGGGATTCTTCTATCCATGGAGTGAGCAGTGGCTGAAACCCGGTCCCCCAAGGACAGGGAGCCCAGACTCCCGGGAGACTAGACTCCATGGGTCTAAAGGGAGAATGGGCTGGGGGCCTGATCCTGGGTCTGAGGGAGGAGGGGGCTGGGGTCTGGACTCCTGGTATTGAGGGAGGAAGGGCTGGGGGTCTGGACTCCTGGGTCTGAGGGAGGAGGGGCTGGGGGCCCGGACTCCTGGGTCTGAGGGAGGAGGGGGCTGCCAGCCTGGACTCCTGGGTGCTCCACAGAGTAAGCCCTCGGCAGGAGGCCAGGAGCTTGACTTTGAGGTCCTGGGGTTCTGGGGCCTTTGGGTCAGAATCTGTGACGTAGGTGCCCTTGTGATTGGTCCCAAGGCTGTGAGGGAGATGTATGGGACCGGGAGAGCTGTGGGGGCCAGGCGGCAATCGAGAACCCCAATCTGTGTCTGCGTCTCCGGTGCTGCTATCGTGATGGGGTCTGCTACCACCAGCGGCCAGATGGTGAGTGCCAGGAAGCCGGGTCCCCGGGGCCACTGAGACTCCTGGGTCTCAAACCTGCCTCCTTTGTGCAGAAACCATGCGGAGAAAGCACATGTGGGCGCTGGGCTGGACATGTGGAGGCCTCCTCTTCCTGATCTCCAGCATCTGCTTGTTCTGGCAAGTGGGGTTGGGGCTGAGGGTGGGCTCCCGCACCCCTGGAGGAGCGGGCAGATGGTCAAGTCTGAGTGTGACCCCCTCCCCATCAGGTGGGCCAAACGTCGAGATATGCTGCACCTTCCAGGGTTCTTAAAGGGCAAATGTGACCTGTCGAGGACCGTGTCTTTGTTATCCAAGGACAGGGGGCCTTCGAGCGAAAAGAAGACGTCCGCAGGCAGCATGCCAACCCCTGTTACTCCGGAGGGGAACGCGGAAGTGTCAGGGGCCACCGAAGGGGAAGGAACGACAGAAGGGGGTGAAGAAACAGAAGGGGCGGAGGACGAAGATTAGGGGCACCCCTGGGGGGGGCCCTCAATACAGATATAGCATATAGACGCGTGGTCTCTTTTCTAAGATCCATGGGAGCAGGAGGCACAGGAGCTCCGGGGCAGGGAGCGTGCATGCGTGTGTGTGTGTGCACAAGGGGACTGGGCTGTGATCATGGGGTTTCCGGGCTGAGTGGAGTCTGGAACCAGGGAGCGGTGGGTCGGTGGGGGGTGGCCTGCCGTTCCCCTGCAGGAGCACCACTGACAGATAGCCTTGGCTGCTGACCCTTGGGATCCTGCCTTGTCTGCCAGCACACCTCCCACCGATGCCCAAGCGTGGCAGGGCTCCCTGCGGGACACAGGCCACCCCCGGTGGACAACGTTACTCTCAGATTCTCCAGTGGCCGGGTGGAAATTCTCCAGAAAGCGCCTACGATACAAGACTTGTCCTGCCCAGCCCTCAGGCCTTCCTCAGGCGTACCCCGTACCAGGTCCCCTCTACAAGTACTTCCTTCCCGGGCACCTGGGTGGCTCAGCAGGTGCGGACTCTTGATTTCGGCTCTGGCCACGATCTCAGGGTCGTGGGCTCGAGCCCCCTGCCGGGCTTCTTGCTTGGCCGGGGTCTGCTGGAGACTCTTTCTCTCCCTCTCCCGCAGCCCCTCCCCCTCTAAAATAAATCTCTCTCTCTCTCTCTCTTTTTTAAGGTACTTCCTCCCAATAAATACCTGGCAAGTCTAATTTGTCCCTCTGTCTGCTTCTCAGAGGACCCCCATACCAACAGAGGGGTGTGGGCCGGCGGGGGGAGGTCTGGGTTCAAGGTCCTGGCACCACTCTCCCACCCCCCTCCATGAGAGGCTTGTGTGCAGGGGGCTCCAAGGTCCCTAAGGGCGTGGATAGCCCCTCTGTGGGTGTGGCCAGGCCCCAGTACTGTCCCTCTCCCAGACAGACACACGGCGCTAGGAGGCGAGCCATTTATCCGAGAGAGGATGGGGCAGACAAGCAGGCATCCTGGTGGCCCAGATGGTGGTGGGTGCAGCTGCACACGCAGTCCCGTCCTCACAGGTGGGGCCGTGGGGCTGTCTGCAGGAGGAAGAACAGGGTTAGTGGCTGTGCGGGACCTCTCCCAGGGACCACGTGTTCCCGGGGCTCACCACCAGCGGCCTGAGGGGCAAGGGAAGGGAGCCCTTTCTTGCTGCTCTGGCCCCTGGTACATTGACTCACACTCCTGCTTGGTCGCTCCATCTCTCCACCGCCAACCTGGGCCGGCATACTTGCCTCCCTGGGGGCCAGCGGCACAAGCTGGGGAATGAGAGACAGGAAAGTCGGCGAGGACAGACGAAGACATGTAGAGGGGATGAGAGACAGAGACACAGAGAGACACAGGAGACCCAGACAGACAGACACAGAGAAAGAAAACACAACCTGGCAGTGGCTGCTGCTGGTGGCTCTGTCAACTCCATTCATTTTGGTCTCAGAGGGAGGAGGGAGGGACCCGGGCCAGAAGCTCCAGGTCCCTGTGTTAAAATTCAAGTTTTCTGGGGTGCCTGGGAGGTTCAGTTGGCTAAGCAACTGCCCTGGGCTCAGGTCCTGATCTTGGAGTCCCGCATTGGGCTCCCCGGTCAGCGGGGAGCCTGCTTCTCCCGCTAACCCTCCCCCACCTCAGGCTATTTTCTTTCAAATAAATTCTTTAAAAAAAAATTCAAGTTCTCTGGCCCTCGAGTGCTGGAAGCCCTTGACTCCGCCCACTGAGGAGTCCCGTGTGGGAACAAACGGGCCCGTCTTCCTTCGAAGAGGGTCCCACACACCAGTTGGCTTGGCCCACGTTTCTGGCAGGTGGTTCCAGCAGATCTGCCCAGCTGTGTTAGACTTCTGGGCAAGGTAAAGGACTCTCACTGCTGGCAGGTGGTTCTACACCTCTCGGCCTGATTTTTGTGGGAGAATGCATCTCGTCTTAAACCCATCTCCTCCTCTGAGCTGCAGAGCACGGCAGAGGATGGGAGGGACTATTCTGCTTTCACAAAGAAGCACATTCAGGATCCATAGGAGAACAGCTCAATTCTTCACCTACAGAGGTCTGAGCACATCAGGATTTAAGTTTTTTAGGGAACTCCCGTTTGAGAAACTGGGTCAGTCACTCATCCGTTGTTGACGCTGTTCCTCCTCTCGGTTCATCCACGGGTCAACCCAACCATTCTTTCATCTATCGTCCCATCTACGTGCCCGAACCACCCACTCACCAGTTCTGATGAATTGTACCCATTCCTCAGTCTAACCATATCCATCCACCCACCAACTGAACATCCATCCCTCTATCCACCCATCCATTCACCAGTCCGTCCAGCCATCCGACAGCCAATCCATCCACTAGTCAAACAACCCATCCGTCCGTCCGCGCATCCACACACCAACCCAATCACCCTTCTCTGAGTTCCTGAGCTTACTGCTTGCGGGGCGATGCTAAGAATGAAGGCACCGGAGACCCAGGCCTTACCAGCGGGATGCTCCCTGTCCGGCGGGAGAGACAAAACCAGCACACAGACCCCACAAGACACATAACAAGCAATAACGGGGTAACTCAGACACTGTGAAGACCCAGAGAAAGGCAGAGAGTTGAGTTGGAGCTTAATGGCACATGGGACATTTTCCATGTGGAGTACAGATAGCAAGGGCACTCCTGCTGTAGGGGGAGACGACAAACAGAGGCCAACTGACTTCAGACAGCCTGGCTGTCCGTGGACTGAGGGATGGCGTCATAACCCAAAGAAGGAAGGAGATGTGGGGCTGAAACCTGTTGGGGCCCAGGGAGTGGCAGGGGTTTCAATCAGAGGGCAACAGGGAGCCACAGCAGAAATTTGAGCAAAGGAGTACAAGCTGGAGAGTGTGTGTTTAGGAAAGAGGAGAGAAAACAGAGGAGAGAGAAAAGGAAAGGGATGAGCAGTGGCTCCTTTCCGGGGTCTCACACTCCTGGTGTTCTGCTCTTTCCCTCACTCTTAGAAGAATCCTAGCTGTGTGCCCTCGGACAAGAGATGGTACCTTTCTGGGCCTCGGTGTCCTCCCCCGGGATGGGGATGGTACTGGCGGTGGCCCCTGAAACTCAGTTACAGTGAGAGGATTAAAAGGGACCTGGTGCCCCTGGGGGCTGGAGTGTAGAGCAGGGTCTCTAAGTGGGGGGCAAGGCAGTAGTGACTCTCTAGGCCTCAAATGGGGGGCAAGGTCTCTCTGTCTCTTCCAAATCTGCACTCATGCCTGCAGTCCAAGGCTCCAGCCTCTGGGCCCTCCTACTCTCCTCTTGATCTGGTCCTTTGTTTTCCCCTCCCTGTTGTCGGTCTCCCTCCCTATCTCTCCATTTCTCCTCTATTTCCACCCCATCTCCTTCCCCCTCTCCCTCCGTCTCTCCAGCTCTCCCCCTCTCTTGCTGTCTCTCCAGCTCTCTCCCACTCCATCTCTCCCCACTGTCCATCTCCCCCCTCCCCCCGTCTGTCCATCTCTGGCCTGTCTCTCCATCTCTCCCTCTGTCTCTCCATCGCTCTCCCTTTCTCCAGCTCTTCCCCTATCTCCCCCAACCCCGTGTCTCCAGCTCTCCCCCTGTCTCTCCAGCTCTCCTCCCCTATCTGTCCAGCTCTCCCCCCTGCCTCTCTCTCCTCCCGTTTCTCCAGCTCCTCTCCGGTCTCTTTATCTCCCCCGAACTCCGAGTCTCCAGCTCTCCCCCGCCCCCCCCACCTCTCCAGCTCTCTCCAGCTCTTCCTGCCGCCCCACTCGCTGCCCCACCCCTCACCTCGGGTTCACTCGGTGCCCGCGCCCGCCGCCCCCGGCCCGGCCTCGAGCGTAGCGAGCTGCAGGCGCACGCGGCGGGAGCCGGCGGCGGTCGGCGGGGGCGCGCGGGCGGCACGGCGCGTTCCCAGAGAGCCGGGCGCGGCGCGCGGGCCGGAGGAGGAGGCCGGCGCTGACCAGCGGCGGGAGAGCTTGCGCGCCAGGCGGGCGAGCGCCGAGGGCCGCAGGCCGTAGTCGCGCTCGAGCTCCTGGCGCGAGATCTCGATGTTGCCGGTGTACCAGAGGATCCAGCCGAGCAGGCTCAGGAAGACGAGCAGCGCGCCCGAGTAGATGAGCAGGTCGCCGAAGTCGCGGCCGCGCACCTGCAGCTGCGCGAACACGCCGGTCAGCAGCGCCGCCATGCCCGCCACGTCCAGCGCCACCGCCAGCAGCAGCGCCATCCGGCAGCGGCCCAGGCCGGACGCAGGCCCCTGCGCGCCGGCCGGCGGGGACGGTGCCCCCGGCGGGGGCCCCTGCGGGACGCCCACCGCTGGCGCCGCTGCCATGGCCCTGCTGCGCCGCGCTGGCTCCCCCAGAGAGCTTTCCGGGGTGCGGCCCGGCCCGGGGCGGGGTCAGGGGACGGCGCCAGGTGTGCCCGGCGCCCTCCTGGTCACCTGAGCTGGCTGGGGTGCACACGGGCCCGACTCGGGGGGTGCCCCGGCCCTGGTTTCTGGGCACGCCCTGGCCCTCAGAGGCCTTGAAGGGGGCAGCCGGGCTCCCGGATAAGGGTGGGAGGGGCCTTACGCACCCCAAGGAGCGCGAAGGAACACATTCAAAATTCAGGGTGTCCTAATGGAGGCAGCGTCGGGTGCTGCGGGAGCCCGCACGTTGCTTCTCTTCAGCGCCTGCCTGCGGGGCCCTCTGCGCCCCAGGCCCCGCGGTGGGGACAGGTGGGGTCAAAAAACAAGGACCAGACAAGACGCCTGGACCCGGAGCCCCGGGACGCCGGAGTTAGCGGGCAGGGCGCCCTAATGGAGGAAACACGGGGCTCTCGGGAGCTGAGATTTCTCTCTCTCATTGCCGGTCCCCTGGGGCGGCCCGTGCGCCCCTGGGAGGTGATGGAACTCCCGGCCCTGAGCGCACCCCCGTCGGGCCTGGGGGCGATGGTGCGGGCAGCGGGGTGGGCCCCCAGGCTTCTCCCAATGCCTCTGGACGGCCGGGATTCCCTAGGGGCGAAGCCCCCGAACACGGAGGGGGACCTCATGGAGTTCCCGGACACAGTCCCAGGTCCAGCTGCACTCGCGGGGGCGACAGAGGCCATGGCCGTTCCGTTTGGTGAGCTCGGGTTTCCGGAGTCCCCCCGAGCGCCCAGCCCCTTGCTGTTGAGGCCGAGGACCCGGGGTACATCAGGCGGGGCTCCTGGCCCTGAAGAGGGCCGTGGCAACAGAAAACAAGAGAGTTTAAGGGGTGCGACTGCGGGCAGACTGGGGGTAGAGGGGACGGGGCAGAGGCCAACAGATGCGGCCCCCCAAGGAACCAAGAGCTTTTAATGCAAATCCCTCCCCCTCCAAACGACTCGCCCTCGGGGGGAACCGACGCCCTCCTGGGGCGGAGGGGTGGTCAGTCCGCTAGAAGATTACGTCCAGTTTCTCTCCAGACTAAAGCGTTTGAGATCGTCCTGAGGAGGGCGACCCCAATCTACCCGCATCAGCCACAGATTTCCGAACGTGGCCCGAAGGAAAACGAGTGTTTCCGAACAGACCCGGGAGGGCGTCTCCGAAGGGTTCCGAAATGCCCGAGCGGGCCTCTGTGCATTCGTCGGGAATAGCCGAGAGCTCGCGAAGAAGACCGGAAGCATCCGGAGACCCTGGAGCTGGCCTTAAGTCACGCATCCGCACGTTCAGACGTAAAACAAATACTTATTGAGCATCTATACAGTGCCAAGCGCTGGTGAGCAACCCTGGAGAGAAACCCCTTCGGAAAGGGACTTAGGGTCCCTCGAACTGGACCTACTCGGAAATCCAGCGGGCCACTTCCGAAAACACACGAAGGGCCCTCGAAAGGGGGTGCTCCGCCTCCGAGGACACGCCCTGGGGTCACTAGCCGAACAGTTCCGAAGGCCTCCGAGCGGTTGGCGACCGGCTGGCGGAAGCAGCCGAACGTTACCGAGCCGGCTCGCAGGCGGACGGAAGGAGGCGGGGACAGGCGAGTCCTTGACGTGCCCACACAGGAAGCGGAAATGCGTGTGGCTATTAAAGTCGTCGTCCCGCCTCCTGCTTGTCTCTTTCCGTCTCCGGCTGCGCTAGCGAGAGGAGGTGAGCGCGCGGCTCTCTGTCGACCGCGTGGTCGTCTCGTTTGCCCGAGGCCCGGGGCCTCTGGCTTTGTCTGGCGTCTGTCGCCGCGCCCCTCGTGTCCTTGGCCGCCCCCCGACCCCGCCGCGCGCTGCGGGGACCCCCGCCGGCGCGGCTTCCAGTCACGCCCCTGCCCCTGCCGCGCGCCCTGACAGCCGCCCCGCCGCTCCTCCCGCAGCCGCCGCCGCCATGTCGGCCCACCTGCAGTGGATGGTCGTGCGGAACTGCTCCAGCTTCCTGATCAAGAGGAACAAGCAGACCTACAGCACTGTGAGTGGGGCCCGCGCGCCGGCCCCGGGGGATGCGCGCCCGCCCCGCCCGCCGCGGTCGCCGGGCCGCTTCCCCGCCTCACGGCCCCGCCGCGCCCTCCCCCGCAGGAGCCCAACAACCTGAAAGCCCGCAACTCGTTCCGCTACAACGGGCTGATTCACCGCAAGACCGTGGGCGTGGAGCCGGCGGCCGACGGCAAGGGCGTGGTGGTGGTCCTGAAGCGCAGAGCCGGTGAGCACCTGCGGCCCCGCTCGGTCCCGCCCGGCCCCGGGCCGCACACGGGGCGGCGGAGGGGCCGGGGTGCAGCATCAGCCCGGGGAGCCCTTGCGCCGGCTCAGGTGCAGGCAGCCGTCCCCGTCCGGCCGTGGGGGTCGTCCCGGCTCCCACTGGTAAGGACGGTGGCGCCGGCCGTGGGCAGGTGGACCCCGGCCCGCTGTGTGCGTCCAGGAGCGCCCCGGCCGTCCGGCCCACTGGACGGGCTCCTGCTGTCTGAGAGGCCGCGCGGACCCGGGAGCTCCGGAGGCAGCTCCGGCTGAGTGTGGGTGCGCGGCCCCAGGGCCTTTGTCCTCTGCTGGGGGTCGTCCTGGTCCCCGTTCGGGTGTGGAGCGCAGCCTCCGCTGCGTGGCGGGTGGGTGACCTGCTGGCTCTGGATGGACTCCTGCCCGCCCCCTGGGGGTTACCTTCCCTGTCAGCTCGGCAGCGAGCTCTCAGGGTTCTGCTCCGGGAGCCCGTCGTGCGGCTCTGGCCCTGAAAGCTCGCTCGCCTGTCGGGGTGGCCTCCCCTGGGCTGCCGGGAGCCAGACCGACGAGTCCTTGGTCGGGGGTTGGAAGTCACTGGTACGGGGACGGGTCCTTGCTTTGGGTGCGCTCTTCCTCCTCTGCCGTCCGGGGGTCCAGGACGCGCCAGGACCCGCAGATGGGGCGTACTTCACATCCTGAGTGAGGCCTGCAGCTTTGCGCACGAGGTGGGGTGCTTTCGTCCACGTGAGCCCTGCTGCGGACTGCTTGCCGCAGGGCTCTCCCTCTCCCTGGCCTTAGCGCACTCCTGGCTCTCCAGCACCCAGGCCAGGCCTCCGGCTCCGTCAGGTCCCTGCTCCAGGCGGGCCCGCTTGGGCCCTGGAGGGTGGGCGGGAAGAGGCCAGCGCTGCAGGCCCCCGGGCAGCAAGTGGGCCCACGGCCCGCGCTGGAGTGGGGCCGGCAGTGCCTCTGACCTTGCACGAGAGCCCTCCCTCTGTTGCTCCCGCTTTGCTCCCTGGGAAGCGGCGAGAGTCTCACGGCAGGGACACAGGACAGGACCCACCTCAGAGGCAAGGCTGGGCGTGGGTGCGGCCGGCTGCAGAGAGGGGCCTGCCCAGGCTCACCGCGCTGGGCCGAGAGCGCACGGTCACACTCACCCTTGGACCCCTGCCGCCATCCCCTGCCCCCACCCCAGGCCAGCGGAAACCTGCCACCTCCTACGTGCGGACCACCATCAACAAGAACGCCAGGGCCACCCTCAGCAGTGTCCGGCACATGATCCGAAAGAACAAGTACCGCCCAGATCTGCGCATGGTGAGTGGGGGCCGGCTGAGGGCGGCTTGCGAGGAGGGCGTCTGCTGACGGCCGCACCCACGCTCGGGAACGGGGCGGCGCGCTGAGCCTTCTCCCTGTCCCCAGGCGGCCATTCGCAGAGCCAGTGCCATCCTGCGTAGCCAGAAGCCTGTGATGGTGAAGAGGAAGCGGGCCCGTCCCACCAAGAGCTCCTGAGCCCCTGCCCCACCTCCAGAGCAATAAAGCAGTTGGCCTCCTCACCTGGGCCTCCCTCTGTGCTGCCCTGGCCTTGCCCCGCGTGTGTGTGCCTGCATGTCCCCGTGTGCCCCCCACGTGCAGCTCCCGGTCAGGGCCGCTCTGTCCCAGCATTCTGGGGATGGGGCACGGTCTGAGTCCTTGCATTAGGGGTGACTCGTGCACACCTGTGTGCGTGTCAGCAGGACGCCTCTGTTACGGTCCTCACGATCCCAGGCCCTTGGTGGACACGTGACCGCTTCAAGAAAGACCACTGAGAGCCCATACCTAATAAGGGCTGGGCATCCTGGCCAAGGGTCTGTGCCGTGGGGCCTGTGCCTGTGAAAGGATGTGCTGTGTGGGGGGCTTCGTCCTCTGGGATTGGGCTGTGGACCTGGCTGGGGGAGGGGGGCGTGGCCTGGAGATGGACAGAAGCAGGAAGCAGGTCGGGGTTGCTTCCTTCCAGGATTGAGAACCAGGTCCCGCAGGAGAGGGGCGGACAGCTGTGGGGCAGGAGTGTACCACGCTCCCGGTGTGAACTGGGAGCCGCTGGTCTTGGGCACAGGAGCAGGTCTAGAGTCCTCACAGGTCCAGGCTGTTAAAACGGCCTGTTCCTGGGTAGGAACCTGGGCGTCACCTGTTTGTGTCCTGCTGGACAGAGTGTGAGTGCCCCGTCCCTCCTGGCTTCGTCTCCTGTGTGCCCAGCCCTCCCCAGTGCCTCCAGGACCCCAGAGCAGTGCTGCTTTGGCCACTCCTCAGTGGTGCCCCTTCCCCCCCACACACACACACCCCATCTACCCCAGACGACCCTTGTCTGCCATCCTTGGGGGCTAGAATAGGTTCTCTGGGTTTCCTGCTCTCTCACCCCTTACCTACCTCCCTTCTGGTGTTAAAACTGGTAATGGCTCAGGGGTCATACCTCTCCACCAAGGACACTACTTGTGTGGCTCTGGGCATGGACCAGGACTTCTCTGTGCCTCTTGGCAGAAGTCCGTGGGTTAAAGGAAGCAAAGAGCTGAGCAGGGGCTGCACATGGCAAGTGCCTGGTAGACCGAGTGCTGTCTTCTAGGAGGTACACCGGTGCATGCGGTCACACGTGCCTATGCACGCCTACGTACTTCGACAGTCTCATCCCAGATATCCCACATGCCCCACTTGACAGACGAAGTCACTGAGGCTCCTGTGGGCAAAGATTCTCCACTGTCCCTGCTTTGGCCCGTTTGCCTGCATACCTGCCACGTGCCAGCCAGCGTTCGGCGGATGACGGATCCGGCTTTGAAAAGACGCCTCCCTGGTCCGTACCGTTCTGGAGACCATGTCCTGAGACAGCGCCCCTGCTCTGTGTCCCCACACCAGATTTCTGTGGCCAAAGGCATCTGCCTCCACAGGCCCTGTTTTGGGACAAGACCCCTGCCTCCAGGGGCTGCCCTTGCTTGCCCGGACACGGAGGAGGCCCTGCCTCCCAGCTTTCCTCCGTCCTCAGATGGGAACCTGACCTTTTTCTGATAGAAACCTGTCTTGCCTGGACTCGTGGAGTAGCCGCCACTCTTGCCCCACTTGGGTCTGTTCTTGACCCAGATGGAGAGGCAGCCTTTTGGAACTAAGTCAAGTGGCTCTAGGCCTGCTGAGAACCCTCCCAAGGTTCTCTCTGCGAATGAGAAGCTGCCTAAGCTGGCCTCCACCCTACCAGGTGGTGAGCCTCAGAGCATCTGTACTTGCTGTTCCTCCCCCTGGAAGGTGCTTCCCACCTGCTCAATGTCACCTAAACCTGAGTTCTTTCCTGACCTGGCCATTAGAAGTTGTAGCTTTCCCTCCAGCTTGGGGTTATTTTTGTCCGTAGCACTGATGGCCGTCTAATGCTCGTGCCCCGTGCTGGTGAGCCACAGCGGGGTCCACAGCGGGGTCCAGGGCCCCAGCGTTTGGACGGTGCTC